AGGAAATTTTTTTGAATTTTATAAGCTCGAGGTGGAGCTTCTCCTATACTTGGGAAAATGATGCAACGACTTTATAACTTTTTTATTTGAGTATTTTCTAAATTTTAGGCTCGGAGGTATTTTGTGTTTTTAGTTTTCTTTATGTGTATGTGTATCTTCTTGAATTATTATAGAGAGTTGAGGGATAAAAGTAGAAGTTTATTTTATTTTACAAATGAGGGGCAATAATTTAATATTGATTAGGTTTCTTAGGAAGCAAGCATGACTTTAGGCTTTTCTTGTATCAATATATAAATAAACAAGAAAAAATAGAAAGAAAAAAAAGAAGAATTTATTTTAGATATTATAAAACAATTTTTTTCGGGGGTGACCTCTTTTACAAACCTCAAGAGAGGTTATAATCTCCCTTCCCTTTATCTTTATCTTACTCTATCAGTTTGTGTGATGATAGCAGCTTATATCGAGTTCCTCATCTGATTACTCTCTCTATGTTCATTGTCTTAGCTGCTTCTCTTTTCTTATTTATAGTTGAGATCTCCATTGTTGATATTTGGTGCCTTTAATGCTTCATTGTCTATTATTTGTCATTTTTTTTCTTATTGAACTGCAACTTATTTCATATGTCATAGACCCAATCGGTTTTGTTTAACATATTCTTAGTTTGCTCTTGAGATTGGATGATACATTAATAGTAGTCTAAGTAAGCGTTTGTATACTATGGCTCTTTTCTTCTCTTAAAATGTGTACTCACTATATGTGTACTCTTTTTTTAACCCTTGGTCATTTTTAAATATCTATTTGGTGCTGCAAAATTGACCATCCATTTGTGGATGAATATACGAATTTGATTTTAGGTATCGTGGTTTGGTATGAGTGATGAATTTTGATGTTTTATAGTTAATTATGTATATCTAATTGTTTGTTACTGCCTTCCTAATATATAAGATAATATATCGTTACTCTCTTTCTATCTTCATTGTCTTTGTTGATTCTCTTTTCTTATTTATGGTTGAGATCTCCATTGTTGTCTAGAAATCAACAGCATTTGATTATGATTGAGATCTTCATTGCCTTCCTGGTTGTATCTCTATTTGTTTGTAACAAAAAAATCAGCAACATTTTATTTGATTTCAATCAAAAGTTATGCATGAAAACAATTGAATCTGATCTGTGATTAGTTTTAGATCCTTTGACTATGTTTGCATAAGGTTAATGATCCTTTTGGATGGTGCATTTGAGCAATAAAAATGGCTTAAACTTGTCAAATAGCTGTTGAGCAGCAACAATGGCCAAACAACTAGTAATTCATGTCAAAATTTCATTGTCAAAATTTGGCCGTACGTGACAGGTTGTATTAGAAACTTAAGCGTGACATTGTTCATTTTGTATAATTTACAGGATATGAGCTAACTAGATGTATGATTTTAGTGGTATATATTAGCTAAGTAAATCAGTCAATTACTTTATTAAATGAAGGAAACATAGCAAGAGGCAATTGTATCACCAAGATTGCTTGAAAAATCGTTATCTCTATGCCTATTTTCCTATATGCCACTTTTTAGTTCACCATTCAATTAAAAAATATGTTTTGACAGCTATGGTTAACTTTGAAGGAATGAAATGAATATAATGTTTTGTAATTGCCTCTTTTTCTATTTCGTTCTCTCTTGTTCTACTGTAATGAGTAAATGCTTCACATTCCCATCAGCCATTTCATAGGAATGAAATGCATATATATGAGAGGAGAAGAATATTTTTTGAGAGAAAATGTAGCTGGATGGGAGAAAAATCTTTATTTCTCTAAATTAACAAAGGATAACGGTAGAAATCAAAAGTTTTAAAAATGTATTTTAGATGTTTAAAAATCAATGAACTTTCACTTTATTGCTACTTATGAATGTTCATGTGCATGACATGAACATTTCATTGTTTTTTATTTGTGATTGTAATAGGAATGTCGACAACATCTATAAGTAGTAGGGCCTTCCGAACCCATCTATGTCTTCACTTTGATGTTGATTGTGCTATATATATATCAACTACCAAAGACAACCCAAATATACAAAATAAATGTCTTCGGTGTCAGGATGGAAAATGTAAATTCTTTTAATAGTGTGATCAATATAAAGTAGATCTGAACTTTATAGCAAATTTGAGGCAGCGAAATGCACCATAGTGGACTCTCCACAAGAATCACAGATACATGAGCTAAAAATTCATGAACCAATGACAATACAACAATCCAACATTGTTGACTTGGGCCACTTAAGATATATTTTGATTTTTTTATATATAACTAATGTTCTTATTGTTGTACTCATATTTTTCATTTTTATAATTATATTATTCAAGAAAATCTCATGAACAAGTAAATCTTGTATTTGATACTTAATTGAGATTGTGGTTGACAATCTCTAGAGACTACTTGATTTTAAAAGTGCAATGAAGTTTATCATGCAACATCTGCATCAATTGTTGTACAAATATCTCTATCTAGGAACCATGGTTATCCATAAAAAATCCAAAGCTTTTCTCTCTAAGACTCTTCTCTCACTCATCAATTGAACTCTCTCTATCTCTCTTTCTCTCTCAAACAAATATAATTTATTGCAATCCCCTTTTTTGAGAGAGAGAAAAGGGGGAGAGCGCACCAATGCAACAAGGTTGGAACTCTTGTGATTGATTTTGTAACTAAAACAAAAATTACGAAGTAGAAAATGTCAATAGTTTATCTAATAAATATGAGAATAAAATTATTTCTTCTTTCAGAGATAATTTAATGATTTCCAAAAACATTGACATTAATTGATTGGTATGTAAGATATATATATAAGCATATCCACAAGAGAGTCTAATTCAGGTACCCAAATTGACCTTAATGAACTAAGGGCCCATTTGGTTTAGTGGATTAAGATTTCTAGGAGTCACTTTTCCTGGAAATGTTGAGCCAATCGTGTTTGGTTCGTCTAGAATTGACATTTATGGTGGAATTGATATTTATGTGGGATTTCAGAATGCTCATTTTAAGCCTAAATTATGGATATATCAATTTCACCAAAATAGGTGAAATTGACATTTCATGGAATGACCTATTAAGCTCCTGAAGAAAAAAAAAAAACGTGAAAATTTTAGAAAAAGAAATTATATCAAATTTTAGAGAGAAAAAGCATACGAAATTTTTTAGAGAGAGAACATGTACAATTTTTTTTAGAGAGATAAACTATCTCGAATTTTTAGAGAGAGAAAATGTATCAAATTTAAAGTTTTAGAGAGATCACATTAAACTTTAGAGAGAGAAACTATCTCAAATATTAAGTTTTAAAGAGATAACATATCTTAAATTTTTAGAGAGAGAAACTACATTAAATTTTAGAGAGAGAATATCTCAAAATTTAGAGAGAGAAATTATCTAAAATTTTAAGTTTTAGAGAGAATGCATATTAAAATTTTAGAGATTAGAAATTATATCAAATGTTAGATAGAGCAATTACTTGAAAAATTTTGGCGAGAGAAAATATCTTAAAACTTTAGAGCGATAAGCTATATCAAATTTTAGATAGAGAAAGTACCTAAAATTTTTAGAGAGGGAAACTATTTAAAAAATTTTAGATCAAGAAACTATCTCAAATTTTAAGATTTAGAGAGAGAAAGTATATAAAATTTTAGAGAAATAAACTACTTGAAAATCTTGGAGAGAAACTATCTCAAATTTTAAGTTTAAGAGAGAGAAAATATTTTAAAACGTTAGAGAGAGAAACTATATCAAATTTTAGAGTGAGAGAACGTGAAATTTTTAGAGAGAGAAACTATTTAAAAAATTTTAGATAGAGATACTATCTTAAATTTTAAATTTTAGAGAGAGAAAGCATATTAAAATTTTAAAGAGAAACTACCTGAGAATTTTAGAGAGAGAAACTATCTCAAAATTTAAGTTTTAAAAAGATAAAGCATCTTAAAATTTTAGACAAAGTAACTACATCAATTATTAGAGTAAGAAAGTACCTAAATTTTTTAGAGAGAGAAACTATTTAAAAAAATTTAGATAGAGAGACTATTTCAAATTTATAGTTTTAGATAGAAAATACCTTAAAATTTTAGAGAGAGAAACTATATCATATTTTAGAGAGAGAAATTATCTAAAATTGTTTAGAGAGAAAAATTATCACAAAATTTTTATAGAAAAAAACTATCTCAAATTTTAAGTTTTAGAGAGATGAAGTATATATATTTTTTAGAAAGAAAAACTATCTCAAATTTTTTAGAGAGAGATAATTTCATATTTTAAGTTTTTAAAAGAGAGTATTAAAATTTTAGAGAAAATTTTAGAGATAGTATCAAAATTATTAGAGAGTGTGGATTTGTATTTTCAAGAAAAAAATATTTCAATCAATCCAAATGGAGAATTTGTATTTTCTTGATTTCTACCTGACTGCGATCCAAACAAAATACATCCTATTCCAGAAAATATCAATTCTGCGTAAATCTCATTTCCAAGATTAGACTGTTATGGAGATTGAAAAATACAGGATTCAAACGCGCTATAAAGGAAATGCGAGACTATACCTCTCTCTTAGCCATGGCTTGAACTCGTAAAAATGGCCACAAAAAAGTTAAAATACTATGATTGTTTTGGAATGCTTTTTAAAATAGTAATATACATTGCATTCAGGTTCTCTCCCGATTTTAGATTATGCTATATTTAATGAACATTACTAGGTAAGAATTTAATTATACAACACTTGCTTTTAGTGAGTTATTTTATTTCGAGGGGGAGTGAAACTATGATTTTCCAAAAGAAGTAATTCCCAGGGCGTCCTGCGATTCGAGTGGACACAAGAAAAGGGCACAAAGTTCAAGTTTCTGCTGCCGGATCAAATGTACATTTGGTCACGCGTGATTCCCATAACGCTCCAAACATTGATTGCAGTTAAAACAATTAAAAAATGCCGCCCTGATGCGTTACCGACACCGGCAGCAACGCGAAACTCACGCGCCTTTTACGAATCCCTCGCCACTCACTCTCTCTCTCTCTCTAAATTGAATTCTCCCTCTTTCTCTCTCTAAATAAATGCTCCCTCTTTACTGCGATTTAACGGTGGGAGCTCCTTAGCTGTCTGCTCGGATCTCTTCCTGTTTTACTAGCCAATGTAATCCATTTGCAGGTGAAGCAGAGAGAAGAAGAAGAAATGGGGTTTGTGAGTGCGGTTCTAGGGTTGTTTGGATTTGGAGTGGGTATCTCTGTGGGACTAGTTATTGGCTATTATCTCTTCATCTACTTTCAACCCACAGATGTCAAGGTCAGTGATTTCGTTGTCCTTTGTTTTCTTCTTCTATTGGAAATGGTTGTCTTTTCTGTTCGTTTTGGTTCTTTGTTTTTGCACCTATGGCTCTTGATCTTAGGGATGATTGGGACTTTTGGCTTGAAATTTCGAAATCGGAATCCCTTTTGTTGTGTGTGTATGTTCTGGAATTGTGTATTACATTTGGGGGGATACAATTTGCGTCGAAAATTGGTTTTTAAAAGTCAGTGTTGATTGTGTGCACCTGAATTTTATGGAGAGCTACTTACCAGATCTTTGTTAAGGGGTTTTCTGCTTATTTCTGTCAGGACAAGTTTGGTAGCATTGCCCTAGCAGTAGTTTTATGTATAGTCTGGTTTATGAAGAATCTGACTTGATGTGGTTGTGGCATTTGTGCTGTTAATGTTTGGGGGTGATTCAACAATAGTGTAGTGGTGGTTTGGGCCTCTTAGACTCGCATCGTAGGTTGGAAAATTGAAAAAAGACGGGATTCTTCACTTTCCTAAACTTCCTTTCAAGTGGGCAATCCACTTAGCAACCTTTCTCTCTCTCTCTCTCTCTCAAAACAGTTACAGGTGTTCAATTCAAAGACTCATCTCTACACCGACGTGGATAAAGTTTTGGTGTATCCATATTTAATTGCAGTCTCCTTCCAAAATCCATCTTATTTTGGATAAAAAATTTCCCATAGCGCTACTCTTGACCACCAAGATCATGAATCTGGAAGAAAATAGAAATTGAACTTTAAAAATAAGTTATTTTAAAGGACAAAGCTTATATGAGTTGTCAACCTTATACTATAATTATACTATAAGGTGCACCTCAAAATCCCACCGGAAAAGGTTCTTCTGATGTTGGAAACCTCTCCAATTGATCATCTCGACCTCGAAATGTATGGATATAGAAAAAAGAGATTTCAAGTCCTAAAATCAGTACATTTTGTTACCCATTATTTGACCGTCCATTTTATAGATTTTCAAGTGTTTTTAGATCTACTCAATCTGCAACATTGTGTGAACTAGGTTTCATGTGCAGAAATAAATTTTGAGGTCATCTTAAGGTTTTTGGTACTAGAAGTGCATCGTCCGGTGGAGTTTTAAGGGGTGCCTTATTTTAATTGGTTAAGGTCCAGTGTCTACAAACAAAGTCTAAGTTCATATTTTTCTAATATGCTAAAATTCATTCTTTCATATCCACGTTCGTTGCGGGTGAGAATATCAACCTATTAAATTTTAGATCCAAAACCCATCTCTAAGATGGAGATGGATTTTGGAAACCAAAAATCCATTCTGAAAAGAACTGACTCTACTCCCTTCATGTAGTCTCTATCTAATTCCTCTTCCAAACTTCGCTGCTGTATCATGTATTCCTTCCCAAGTCCTAAAAGAATGGGATCATGCCTTCCTAGGCTGCTAATGTCCCGACGACTTCACTAGGACCATATTTCCCTTCACTTACTGCAGGCCAGAGAGCCTCTGGCTTGCCAGAGCACTCTATTCACATTTGCCTAAGAGGGCCTCATTTGACTGCTTGGCAAACATGCCCAAAATTATAGATGGATTTTTGGATTTTGAACACATATCCAAAACTTTGTGCACATCTATTGATGGTTGGCCTGCAGATCTCATGGATCTGACATGACGAATTTCAAAAACATGCCAGGCAACATTTGCAAGAAGTGTTGATTGTGTTGTGGGTGTCAAACACACCTAAGTGTGTGCAACATACATAGGTTTGTGATCCTAAAAAGTAGTTAGCTATATGATTACCAGAAAGAATAACTCTCTCAGAATTGGTATTTGTATTGCATGAACAGTATACGGAGAGAACGGTGTTGTTGAACCTATGGTTGACTTAAGAAAGTTTAGAGATGCTTCACTGACGGTAAGGAGCTCCTCTTAATCATGGATCACACTCTGTAAACTCAATCTACTATATGTTTAAGATCCAATGTGGAAAATGGAAGCTGAAAATTGTGCCATTTATATTCAAACTGAAGCTTCTACACATTCTCTTGTAGTTTCATGGGTGCACGAGAAATTGCAGAAAATTTATTATAGGTTACCTGCTTGTGGAGTGATATGTCATGCCTCTAGCTAAGTGGACTTTTATGCTTGCCATACAGGGAGTTCACAAGCCATTAAGTGCTAATCCCATGAAGTTACCATCTTATTTTATACGGGCCGTACAGTGAGTTCACGAACCATTAAGTGCTAATCCCATGAAGTTACCATTTTATTCATGGCTGAGAAGTATTTGCAATTCCGTATAGTCATCCTTGTAGCTGTTCATCCAATGATACTGGGTTGTAACTAATGTTATTTTAATTTTATCGAAAGATTATGGTTACTGTGTATCTCAATCACTTGTACAATTTGCTGGTTCATGCATACATAGAAGTTAAAATCAGTTATTCCTTTTCAGTTTGTTTTGAGTTAGGACCTGTAGAGTAACAAGAAAGGAGGCAAGTGAGACACAAATTTAGAAACAATAGTTGTGGAGGCAGGTGAGGGATATGAACGGCATAAGAGACTGAGAAAACATTATTCTTCTGGTCTTCTGCATATGCTCAAAACACACAATTAGCAACTCTTGGAGATAGTTTAGTTCATTCATATGCTAGTAGTGAACTTGTAGGACAGATAGATACTGCCAGACCCATAAAGATGATGATGGTTAGGTTGAATACCAGTAAGAATTTCAAAAAGAGATGAAGCATGGAGTAACGGAGTGGGAAAGATAAATATTCCAATTTTTTGATTAATGAATACTATTACTAATCACAAAAGGAGTAGTAGGCAGCTTGTCATTCAAATAAATAAAAATCAAGACATTATATGAATTATTTTGCTCAAGATTCCTTTTCGTTGTGGTGTTCAGTGGCAAGAGTGTTGACCAATCATGCGATGCTTTAAGATTTGAGAGAACCTTGAAGCTTTTGAGACTTGTATTCACTAACAAATCAGATCCTTACCTTTCTATTCAGTCAATCGCGCAAAAGATATCATGTAACTAAGTATAAACAATGCTAAGGATCACATGCTTATGACGACAGTCTTCAGTAAAGGTAACATAGTAAAAAGATCTAACTTTAGAACATGTGAAGGATGAGATTTAGTTATTAAAGGTAGAGAAGGGAAGTACCAAGTGTTTGCTGACTCGTAGCTGTCACAGACATGATTCCCATTCCCTTCTCCATTATATAGATACAGACACGGGCTGTTGTAAACCAGGATACGACAAGCATGCAAGCCATAAGTATAAAATAAAAGATGAAATTATGCATTATAATATGATTAATCTAAAATTACGATTAACTGCAAAGTAAAATCAATAGAAATATGACTGATATATACACATGATATGATATATTTAAAATATCATGTGATTCTATATTGATATTATCAAATACATGACAATACCTTTAGACTTTACACTACGTCTCATAATTTATATGTACATATGTATCAGTTTGTGAAACAAGATAGTCATATTCGTAACTGTATCCTATATTGTGGGAAGTAAGGAACCATATCCCCATTTGTCATCTGTGTACTTGTAGGTGGTATCCCTAGGCATCATAGTTTTTGAATGATACGGATCATTGCATGTGACTTGCAGTTGGCATTACTACATATGGTAGTTTAGTCACATATACTTGCATTCTTTCTGTTTCTTTTGGTTGCTTGTTAGTGATGAATTAGAGCAGGAGGATTCTTTTTCTTTTGGTACTGATCCTGCTTACTATCGGTTGTTGATTGTATGATGGTCATGGTGGCATTCTTTCTAGATTGTTTCTGAAACTTATTGGTGCACACAGAGGATATAATATTGGTTGTCTCTAAAATGTTTTCAGGATCCTAAAATTCGTCCTCTTGTTGAACAAGACTCAAAATCTTTGCAACGCATGCTTCCTGAAATTCCCATGTGGGTGAAGTGTCCAGACTTTGATCGAGTATGTCTACTTCTTTGCTCCATTGTAATGTTCAAGCTGTGGTATTTTTAACTGTGAGTTTGATTGCTGAAGTTCTCTGCTTTTGTTACTCCAAGAACGATTGTTTGAATTTATATGAATGCATTCAACTCTTATTTTAACAAGGTCGATTGGCTCAACAAATTTTTGGAGAACATGTGGCCTTACCTAGACAAGGTATGTGTCTCTGGCCAATGGTATGGTTTTTGAATTCCGTTCTTCTTTTCTTGGATTTTTTGCGTATTATCCATGGATATACTTAATTAGGTTCCTTATATTATTCTACTTAATGAATTGGAAGACGTTCTTGTTTTGTTATCAAGGCAATATGCAAGACTGCAAAGGACATAGCAAAGCCAATCATTGCAGAGCAAATTCCAAAGTATAAAATCGAATCAGTTGAATTTGAAGCTCTTACATTGGGAACCCTGCCGCCTACTTTTCAAGGTTAGCAAGTTTATCCAAAACGTCTTAACATGCATCTTGTTGATGAAGAAACTTGACTTAATGATCCTTTTTGCTGTTGATGACTTAAATATGTATATAACACTTTTAGAAGCGCAGTCTGTTGGAAAAATATATGGTTATATTCCTTGAGCAATCAAGTTAAATCCTTAAAAGTTGAGGCACTTGAATGGTCTTATATGTCTCATATCTGCATGCTTTGCAAACTGAGTTTTAGTATGTTTTTCGCTATCCATTCAGATGCTTTAAATTTTTCTATGTATCACAAATTCATAATGGCAAAAGCTCAAGTTATGGCAACGCACTGGTTGTATTCTACATGAAAAGTTTGTACTTTGTTAGGTGGAGGTTGGAGTGTTATGACATGAGTTATCATTTAAACTTCCTAGATGCATAACATGTCAAAGTTCTTGTGTTGAACTATGGTTTTTGTTAACTGATTTGTCCTACTTGTCAGCCCATAAAACAGTTATGGAAACTGCGTTCCAGTGTCCTTTTCAGGTTTTCTTTATCATACTTGTTTTCTGCATATGCTTTCCAATATCAGCTACTTTCACAATGTACACTTGGAGAACTGCATTGTGCCAATTTTTTGGTATGTAGAGGCTTGTTGGTGCTTGATATTAGGACCATGAACTCGATATTTTTCATGTTGTTTATATTGTTAACACACACACATGCTTACATGCATATGCCCTGCATACGTATAGACACACATATGCCTATCTATGTGCGCATGTGTGAGATTTGGTTGCTGTGCATGTTTGCATAAGATTTTGTTGTTCTACATCATCAACTTTATCACATAGATATTTCCTATCCACATGTACACATGTTGATTGAGAAAAAAGATCCATTTTGCAAAATGAACTGGCGGGGAGCTGGCTATTGTGATATGTCGTGGGCAGGGGCATTTTAGAAGCAACCCAAATCAAACTGGACTGTCATGGATCAGTTAGGGTATTTTTTTTTTTTTGAGAACGTTCACTATTTGTATTAGTAAAACAAAAAGATACAAAAGTTTGCAACCCACAGATAGAAGAGATAGCCAGCTGAGAGAAAGCATATCAGAAGGGGCACCAACATTAAGACCCCAAAGTGGAGTTTGAATGGGCACCCTCCTTGGCCAAAAAGTCAACCACTGTATTGGCTTCTCAAAAGATGTGGGTCCAGGACACCCTGATGCCACTACAGAGTTGTAAAATTTCTTTTAAAATGTGGTCTAAACGCCATGGCCAGGGAGAGATTGGAGGCCCAAGAAATAACGTTCTTGGCGACTCCTTCCATCAAAAGCTTTGTGCTCTAGGAATGATCAAACTTGTGAGGGCCCTCCAAGAAGGCTGTGCCAATGGCATTCAAAAAGGACAGCTAGGTACTGCCATCACTTAGGCTGAAGAGACCACCAATACCTGAAGGGCCTGGGTTGCCAAGGCAAGGGTATTGAATGGGTTGAGTCAGAGTAGTACTGCATATGAACTTCCCAGATTAAAATTAGAGGAACCAAAGCAATTTCTGGCTGGGAGCATCCACTCTCAAACAATCTCACAAACCCGTTTCTATCCTGCGATGCTCTCAATTGACTACATGCCTGTGATAGGGTGCAGCCACCTTTCTGTTCTCTGTTGAAAGATTTTTTTTGTGCTTAGCTTGTTGGATTCATAATGCTGATCATGATTTCTGACAGTGTTCATTTTGGTGTCGTGCGTGTACTTCCAATTCAGCACTAATCTCACAATCATCCATATGTTATGCAAACTAGTATTGACTTCCTGAAGCTTAGAGTTTCATTTTCTTCAGTAGGCTTATTTGTTTTGCAGGACATTCTTTTATGCTTATGTGATGTTTGTTATGGTACTGGCTATGCTGCTTTTATCACAATATGTGTTCCCCATAGTATGTGTGTCATTCTGCTTGAATGGACCAACTATGCATTTTATCTGAATCACCTAAACAGATTTATAGTTGAGGGTTTAACCATTATGGATATGTTAATGTTATTAAGTTCCATCCAGTTTTGCCTTATTTTCTCAATGGCATTGTAGTTTTAGATTTTTAAATATTTGAAGTCTTCTAGTTTTTCAACAATTATGGTAACACATTGAAGTTAATATTGATTCTCTTGTCATTAGGAATGAAAGTATATCAAACTGATGAAAAGGAGTTGATTATGGAGCCATCCTTCAAATGGGCTGGAAATCCAAATGTTATCGTGGCTGTCAAAGCATTCGGATTGAAAGCAACTGTACAGGTCAATGTACTTTCCAAAAATGATTATGCTATATAATCCTGTTTAGATACATTGGTCGTATCTGGAAATGCCACATAGATGATCATGCTGTTTCGTTTCCTGTACAAACTGAATTAGTTTGTTTCCTAGAACTAGTGATTAGATTCTTGGGGAATTTTTACTTCTTATTTTCTTTCCCTTATTTATAGAACATCCTTGTTCTTTTCGTTTTGGTAATATTAGCTATTGAAATGTCAGCCACCAATCCTGTAGGTGGTAGACTTGCAAGTTTTTGCTCTTCCACGTATCACACTGAAGCCTCTAGTGCCAAGTTTTCCTTGCTTTGCAAAGATTGTGGTGTCCCTGATGGAGAAGGTATGTGATAGTGTACTTGTTTCATTGAGTCGCAATGGTTCAATGACACTACAATATGTATTTGTCTTTGAAGTTTGTTGGTCACCGACTGTGTTTTATTATCAACTTTGACTGCACAGCCTCATGTGGATTTTGGACTAAAAATTCTTGGAGCAGACATCATGTCAATTCCTGGATTATACAGATTAGTTCAGGTAACTTTGGTTAACTTCTACTCTAGACCATCCCGTGTTGGGCATCTTCTAATTCAAACGTTTTGATTTCATTTCACGAGTTAAGGAAGCATTTTGCAACTACAAGATACCGCTGATGATATATGTTCATATTTTTTTATTAAAGAAAAGAGAGCGAGAATGTAACCATCACAGTCACTAAATCAGTGCTTGAATTAACAACCTTATTTTGTTTTCCTCCTATTAAATTTGAGATTGCCATTTGAGTAGATTGTTCCAGTATTTTCTTGTAATATGTTAGAATGCTAGAAGGTCTTTTGAAATTAATGTTACATCCGTCAAGACCGCTAGGCACCAAATGTAATAACTTTACATCATAAGGTACGTGGAGACTCTTTTTTCTTGTACATATTTTGTGTAACTGTAATTATTGTGTACTCGCAGGAAATTATTAAAGAACAGGTAGCAAATATGTATCTATGGCCCAAATCACTGGAAGTACAGATTTTGGATCCTGTAAAGTAAATCCCTCTATTTTATGCTGTATTTTCAATACTGGAATTTTCTTTTTATTTGACTGTAGGTCTTACCTATATGGGTTGACCTGTGAGTTTGCAGAGCCATGAGGAGGCCTGTTGGTATTCTCCATGTTAAAGTTGTTAGGGCATCAAATTTAAGGAAGAAGGACTTAATGGGTAAATCAGACCCGTATCTGAAATTAAAGCTTACTGATGACAAAGCGCCATCAAAGAAGACAACCGTTAAGCACAGTAACTTGAATCCTGAATGGAACGAGGAATTCAATATGACTGTAAAAGACCCTGAATCTCAATCCCTTGAAGTTACGGTCTATGATTGGGAGCAGGCATGTTTATTTCATACCTTTCTTTGTTAGTTAGATATTCAGTCTCCCTCAGTTTATTCAACAAGAAAAAGAAAATACACAATCTTACTATACGAAGTCTTTTTCTTGTTGTCTAGATTGGAAAGCATGATCGGATGGGTATGAATGTTGTTCCTCTGAAAGAGCTTACCCCAAATGAGCCCAAAACCTTGACCCTCGACTTGTGGAAGACTATGGATGCAAATGATCCCCAAAATGAGAAATCACGCGGACAGATCACTTTGGAACTGACTTATAAGCCTTTTAAGGAAGAGGAACTGGCAAGTGAGGTTACTGAAGATGTAACTGTCCAAAATGCTCCTGAAGGTACTCCTGCTGGTGGAGGAGAGCTTGTTATTATAGTCCATGGAGCTGAAGATCTTGAAGGAAAGCACCACACAAATCCCTATGCACGGATTCTTTTCAGGGGAGAGGAGAGAAAAACTAAGGTACTATGAAATTATGACTACGTACAAAATGCTACATTTCTTGTTGTTTATGCAAAAGGAAAAAACTAGGCTAAGTTCCATGTCATAGGATTCTTATGTCTTTCACCATATTCACTGAGCTCTTACTAGAAGCTGCTTATGGTTAATGTTTCAGCATTTAAAGAAAAACAGAGATCCAAGATGGGAAGAGGAGTTCAAATTCAGGCTAGAAGAGCCACCTGTCAATGATCGACTCCATGTAGAGGTTATCAGTAAGCCCTCTACTATTGGAATCCATTCGAAGGTACATTTCTCTATTCGTATTGTTCTTTATATGCAGAACAAGCTTGCAGCATCAAATAGAAGAGAATAAATTGAGAAAGTGACCATGTTGTTTTTGGTCTTTTATTTTTCCGCTTCTTTATGTTAGCTTTTAAGCAGGATTTTAAAACTTGATGAGTCTAGTTGGGAGTTGGCTCGCCTCAGAATTTGTCCAGGTCTTAGACAGTGTCTCAAAACTCGCAAAATTCTTTTAACATATATTGACTTTTTGAAGAGACTTGGCTGTGTTTCTTTAGAATCATCTGAGTCTTGGACAGTGTTTTAAAATGTGGAATGCGGGCCTGATGCGGTGGGGGGCCGATGAAGCGATGTGGCTCGATAAGGCCCGAATGCAGGTGCATCGCGATGATGCGGTCAATAAATGTAAAAAATTCTAAATTTTTTCTAAGAATAAGTTAATGCATAGGAAAAAATATGAAGGTGATATATGTGTTAGTAGGTATGTTAGTTTAATGATTAACTTCAAAACTATTAGCTGTCGGAGATTTTGTAGTTAGTTGTCCACCCATATAAGTATTTCTACAGAGCAAGCATATCACACAATTTCTATCTTTGGGATTTTTTAGTTTAGCATATTTCCAAGCCGGATCCTTATTACTAGAAGATTGGGAAGAAGACATTGCTCCAAAAATATGTATAATAGTAATATTGTACAAGAAGGAAAAAACATTTACCGACTCTGTGAAGTACTGCTCGATTTCTTTACGACCTCTGAAACCCTCAATTTCTTATCACAAATTCACCCTAACATCTCCAAATCAACAATCAAAGGCATCCAATGAACATCCAAGTATCAAACAACCGCCAAATCGAAGATTTCGATGAAAAAGAAAATTCTGCCTAATTTTTTTTTTACCTCGATGTGATGCAAAAAAAGCCACAAAAGTGGCTGAAAATCTTCGTTTAGGGCCTCTAATACCCCCCCCAAACAGTTTTCCAAACATTTGGATGGTCAAAAAGACCATTTTGCTCCTCCCCGAGGCGCAAAACAGAAAAAAATTTCGGTGGGCACTGTAGCAGTGGGATGCGGCCTATGCGGGATGCAGCTACGATGCGGGCACGATGCGGCCTGATGCGGGCTCCTGTTCTGATGCGGATGCGAGCGCATCCTACATGATGCGGCCGCATTTTAAACCACTGGTCTTAGATGAGTCTAGTTGGGAGTTGGCTCACGTCAGAATTTGTTCAAGTCTTTGACAGTGTCTCAAGACTTGCACGATTCTGCTAACATATATTTACTGTTTGAAGAGACTCAGCTGTGTTTCTTTAGAATTATTTGAGTCGTATCAAATCTAATTGGAATGGGACGCTTATAAGCCACCTGGTTCATGTTTCTACGTCTTGCATCTAGTATTTTACCATGTTAGTTATCCATGATACTATTTAGACAATTGAAAGTGCACAATGCATGTTGGTGTGAGACATAAATTACAGACATTTCAATAATCATGAGATATGATAAAAAAAATATTAAAATTTGGAAAAGATAAAGGTATTTGTGTGTGTGTGTGTGTATGTCGGGAAAAAAATAAAAAGATGGAAAATAGTTATCACATAACCCATGAAGTTTCTGTGATTAGCACAGGACAAATTGTAAAAATACAGTCCGACTGCTAGATCTATTCAGTACTTAGTTATTCCTCGAAGATGTATCAAAACAAGATAACATATACAGCTCATGCAGAAAAAGATTCCACATTTCGAGTCAGTCGGAACTATAAAATTTGATAATATGATATCCCTGTTATCCCCGTCATTTAGTTCTTTTCTTTAGGTTGGTAACATTTTATAGCCTTTGGTGTAATGTCTTTTAGATAAAATTGCATTTTCGCTAATGAAAGATTGCTGGATTATTGGAGAACTTTATTGTGTTATTTTAATGTGTTTAAATGGTTATTCTTCTGTTATTACTTTCCATGGTTTATGGAGTATGAGAAAGATGAAGTCGTTTGAATTCATAATGTTAATAGAGAAACTTCATTTTGTACCTTTGTAACTAGTATATTCAATATTTGCCACCTTCGTTTTCTAGTCTTCCAAAAGAACCACTTGTGTTTTCCCAATCTCTAATTTTTGCCAACTTTTAATTATTTTTTATTTATTTCAAAAAATGCCCCTCTTTTGGCTCTATGAATGTTCCTCTACTTTCTCTACATAGTACAAACCCAAAAACTACTATGTTATTCACTCTTTCTAAGGTGGTGGCATCCCGTTTAATTTTGGCTTAAGGATCAACCGCTCTGTGAAAAGTTTCCTTTCACTGTTTATGTGTCTTTCAATTTGTGTTGCTGTCATGCTTCCCAAGTTGAGTAGTAGTTGAACTAAATCAAGAAAAAAAAAGGGGGGGTGGGGGAATAGATGATTCAAGGTGCAAAAATGGCAAAGAAAAAATTAGAAAATGGCATATCCTAGGAATTTTAGTTTAACGTAACTAGGTATGTGAATCATGCTACATTGATCAGCGCTACTTTGCTCAGACCTTGACATAAAGCTTTTCTCTATCTTTATTTTGTCCCTCTCCTCTCTCTTGTTCAATTTGAATCAAAATTTAAAATACCCAAAACATAATATCTGTTCAAATTTTGTTTTCTAAATTCATAGATGCCTTTGAAATGCCTTAGACTCAGTTTGTACCTGTAGATTAGGTCCTAGCAAATGATGCTTTTGGTTTGTTTCTTGATTTCTTGTTATTATTTATATGCTTGTTGTGGATATAAATTAAATTATGTGTACGCTCACAATACGTTGTATGGGTGTTTCAAAACGTGGTAATTCCCGATTCGGATCGCCAAACTAGATGGGGATTCGATTGGGACTGGACAGGCTCCTGGATGGTATGGGTCTCAGCTCGGTTCCTTGTGTAAATCTGCCCCCACCCCCAATTTTTTTTTTACTTTTCTTTATTCTTATTAATGTCTTCTTGGAACTGCGCATTGTCGGTCCCAAGCCCTGATGAGAAAGGAAGAGAGTTGTGTTAGGTTGGTAGCTAGCTGAAAACTTTTGCCACATCCCTAATATGAATACTAATTTGACGGTATATGCTCATGCTGGGGCGTTTCCTATAAGCGGCACATTATACCAGTACCCAGGTCTAGTGAAAATATGCAAGGGTTAGTGATGCAAATCGCATCTAGGATGTTCAAGAATAGGGATAATTAGAATTTTATGATATTTTATTTTATTTTATTATTATGGGGGGGCATGGGTGTAATTTCTTTATTTTGGTGGTTGAATTGTGACTTAAGGCATGAGGGGTAAAAGGGATATTTAGTTAGTTGCTATTTTATGGATGAGTTGTTTCCTTAATAAGATGTGTGGGGAGTAGTAGATGAGGATGGGGAGTGAGAGCTAAAGGGAAATTCCTATTTTCATGGGGGTTAAGATTTAAAGAGAAATTTTTTATGGAGGCGGATCTACATGACAAGGATGTCAAACACACAAAGAGGCAGAGGAAAAACTTATTTTCATTGACCATTATTAACATGTATATATAATAAAATCAGAGATAATTACAATAGTAACTTCTTATGAAATATACACTTTTCATAAATACAAGATCTTCAATCTCTACACTTCCCCTCAAACTAAGGTTGGTTGAACAATATCAGTTTGTCAATGACATAGTCATGACGAGCACGAGTCATTGCCTTGGTAAAAATATCAGCAAGTTGTTGCTGTGAGGCAATATGGAGGAGTGTAACTTCTCCAACCAGGAATTTTTCACGAATGAAATGACAATCAACTTCTATATGCTTTGTGTCGTCATTGACCACTGGATTGGAGGCAATGTGGATGGCACTTATATTATCAGCATACAATTGTGTAGGAGATCGATGAAGAATATTGAGGTCACGTAAAAGTCCTCTCAACCAAGTAATTTCACTGCAATCTGAGGACATTGCTCGGTATTTGGCTTTTGCAGAAGATTTTGACACAGTTTGTTGTTTTTTTCATTTCCATGATATTAGAGTCTTCAAGAAATATACACCAGCTAGTGGTCGAGTGTCGAGTATCTGGGCAACTTGCCCAATCCGCATCAGCACAGGCTCATAATTGGATAGGAGTTAGAGGAGAAGTAGGCTTTTATGGTATGTACCTTGCAGATAACGAATGATACAATGGACAACCGAGAGGTGGATGCGATGTGCATTTGCAACAAATTGGCCTACGACCTGTACTGCATGGGATATATCTGTACCTGTCATGGTGAGATAAAGTAAACTGCCAACCAGTTGTCTATAAAGAGTGGGATTTGGAAGTTTGTCTCCATCATCCTTTCTATATTTTACATTCACCTCTATTGGTGTATCCACCCGTTTATCATTAGATAAGTTGGCCAGTTTGATCAAGTCATTGGTGAATAAGTATACTTCTTAGGCGGGGTCGGTACAAGATCTCAAGTATCATTTTTCAACAAGGTACTTATTTTTGCATCCATGGCTTCTTTCCAACATGGCATAGTCAAGGCTTACTGGTGGCTAAGATGGAATATCGATTAAATTTAAGGGGTTAAATAATGATCTAGGAACTAAACAAAGATCTAGGTGTTTGGGAGGAATCTCAACATTATCAAAAGAAGTAAATAAAGCTCTAGGTTGTAGTGAAAAGTCAAAATCATTACGGGAAAAGCCATATCGGTCAGGTGGGTGAGTTACACGTAAAAAACATCGTAATTGGATAGACATATCAAAAGAAACAAGATTAGGAGAAAAGGAGGGAAGACAATCACTTATAGGTGGGACAACGGTCTGACCTCGCTCTAGTTGGTCAGATGGAGGAGGCGTAGATTGGTATTGTTTTCCCTGCTGTTGCTGCACTAAAAGCTGTGGTGAATTATCAGTGGTGTTGGCATTTGAGAAATCCGGTAAGAAAGGAGCAGTGGATTTTGTTGATTTTGCAATTAAAGAGTAATAAACGATGTTTTCCAGAAAGACGTCATTACGAGAAACACGTACACGACGA